TCGTTGTTATCAAGTTGTTAATGTGTTTGATGTTTGTTGTCAAGCTGTTAATGTGTTTGATGTTTGTTGTCAAGCTGTTAACGTGTTTGATGGTTGTTGTCAGGCTGTAAATGTGTTTGATGTTTGTTGTCAAGTTATAAACGTGTTTCATGGTTGTTGTCAAGTTGTAAATGTGTTTGGTTGTTGTCAAGTTGTCAAACATCAAATACATTAACAGCTTAAAAACAAACAACAAACATATTAACAGCTTGAAACAAACATCAAATATATTAACAGCTTGATAACAACCATCAAAAACATTTACAACTTGACAACAAACATCAAACACGTTTACAACTTGACAACAACCAAACACATTTACAACTTGACAACAACCATGAAACACGTTTTTTTCAAGCTGTTAGTGTGTTTCTCGTTAAGCTATTAATGTGTTTGATGGTTTTTGTCAAGTTGTAAACGTGTTTGGTGGTTGTTGTCAAGTTGTAAACGTGTTTGATCGTTGTTATCAAGTTGTTAATGTGTTTGATGTTTGTTGTCAAGCTGTTAATGTGTTTGATGTTTGTTGTCAAGCTGTTAACGTGTTTGATGGTTGTTGTCATGCTGTAAATGTGTTTGATGGTTGTTGTCAAGCTTTAAGCACATTTGATGATCAGTGTAATTTTTTCTATCTCGTAGAATCGACGTTTGCTTGCATTTCAAGAATTAGTGAGACTTCTTCGTCCAGGAGGTCAGGCATTAGTATATGTGTGGGCCATGGAGCAGGACAAAATTGATGGTCCCTCAAATTATTTGAAATCTTCCAAAGAATCAAAAGTAAACAATGCATGTGGCTCGGCTGACATCAGTATCCCAATAGTCCCATTTGAATCAGCATCGCTAGCAGCCTCAGACTGTAAACTCCCCATTCATACGAACAGAACTTGCTTCAAACAGCAAGACATGTTAGTTCCTTGGTGTAGAAAACTATCTAACACTTATGATACACAAACTACAAATCCTGGTGAAACATTTCACAGATTCTACCATGTCTTTAAGAAAGGAGAAATTGAGTCACTTATTGAAGGAATTCAAAGAGTTTCAATACAAAACAGCTACTACGATAAGGGAAACTGGTGTATCATATTAGAAAAAAACAACTAAAATGCAAGGTCTAGTGAAATAAGATGTAATAAATCAACATATTTTTTTTATATTGTGAATTTTGAGTAAAAATATGGCAGTTGGTTTTTAGCATTGTGGAACAGAATGTAAAGAAGCAAAGATTATTTTTAAAATTGTGAAATGGAACATAACCTAACAGATGTTTTTTTATCATTGTGAAATAGAACATAACCTAACAGATATTTTTTATCATGATTAAATGGAATGTAACAATCCAATTAATGGTTTTTATCATGATTACATTGGATGTAACAATCCAATAAATGGTTTTTGTCATGATTAAATGGGATGTAACAATACAATAAATGGTTTTTATCATGATTAAATGGGATGTAACAAACCAACAGATGGTTTTTATCATGATTAAATGGGATGTAACAATCCAATAAATGATTTTTATCATGATTAAATGAATGGTTTTTCTCATGATTAAATAGCATGTAACAATCCAATAAATGTTTTTTAATCACGATTAAATGGGATGTAACAATCCAACATATGGTTTTATCTTGATTAAAAGGGATGTAACAATCCAACAGATTACTTTTATCATGATTAAATAGGATGTAACAATCCAATAAATGATTTTTTATCATGATTAAATGGAATGTAACAATACACTAAATGGTTTTAACATGATTAAATAGGATGAAACAATCCAAAAAATGGTTTTTAATCATTATTAAATGGGATGTAACAATCCAATAAATGGTTTTATGATGATTAAAAGGGATGTAACAATCCAACAGATTATTTTTATCATGATTAAATAGGATGTAACAATCTAATAAATGGTTTTAATCATTATTGAATGGGATGTAACAATCCAATAAACGGTTTTATCATGATTAAAAGGGATGTAACAATCCAACAGATTATTTTTATCATGATTAAATAGGATGTAACAATCCAACAGATGGTTTTTAATCATGATTAAATGGGATGTAATCATCCAACAGATGGTTTTTATCATGATTAAATGGAATGTAACCATACAATAATTGGTTTTTATCATGATTGAATGGGATGTAACAAACCAACAGATGGTTTTTATCATGATTAAATGGGATGTAATAATCCAACAGATGGTTTTTATCGTGATGGGATGTAACAATCCATTAAAAGGTTTTATCATGATTAAATGGGATGTAACAATACAATAAATGGTTTTTATCATGATTGTAATGGAATGTATCCATACAATAAATGGTTTTTATCATGATTAAATGGGATGTAACAAACCAACAGATGGTTTTTATCATGATTAAATGGGATGTAATAATCCAATAAATGGTTTTTTTTTACCACTTAGTTATACTTGACATTACTACTTAGATGTTGTTATATAGTTCTAGTAATATAAACGTCAACATCACAACTTAGTTACACTGAACATTACTACTTAGATGTTAATGTATAGTTCTAGTAATGTAAACGTCAAGATCACTCCTTAATTATACTTGACATTGCTACTTATATGATAACGATAGTTCTAGTAAAGTAAACGTTAAGATCACAACTTGGTTATACTGGACATCACTACTTAGATGTTAATATATAGTTGTAGTAATGTAAACGTCATCCCGATCATGATCTGTTACTCTAATATTTTTTTATTTACTTATACGTAGGACATGCAGACCGGGAAATGAGCGCGATATATTTTTATCAGTTTCGCGTGACAAAGACATCCGCCACGTGATAAACTTCCTTTGTCCAAGACAAGCGACAGCAAAAATTCAAACAGCTTTCATACTGTTACGTCTCCGTTTGTTAATTAACTTTCCGTAACTTCGTTCCGACGAAACTTAAGCGACACAAGTTCTTTCTTAATAAAACTGGTTTATTATTTCCGAATATAACTTTACCAATACACTCAACTTCAACAATCGCGCTAAACAAACACTGTAACGTCTCTCGTGCTCTCTAACTGCAGTTCAATTACTCACTCTCTACCCAGACACGTTACATTCCCCTCTTTTATATACCCGCCTACCCTATATCTAGTAAGAAGTAGAACATTCGCCAAAGTACAGGATAATTCTAGATAATAGAGAGCGTGAGAATCACATGATCTCGATGACGCAACAATACGTTTTAGTTGAATAATCAATTGTTTGTCTAGCGATATAGGGGAAATTACAACTAATGAAGTGTTTGTCTAACAATTACAGTAACTGGAAACAAGTGTTTGGTTGTTTTATTTTGCCGATGATGATTATTATTTTTTTTTAACATCTGCCCCTCACCCATGGGATCAGCTGTAAGCTTGAAGACTTATAGCAGTATAATTTTGGGTTCAATACCCGAGATAAACTTAAACCTATTGTCTATTGACATGCTTGCTTTTGAAATCAAATAAAACAGCACGAGACACAACACATATTATAAATCACAAGGAAGTCTAAAAAAAAATTGATTGGTCGTTACTACAAGATGACGTCAGTTTACGCGTTTGTAAAGTTCATTATGTGTGACGGAACCGCTATTCAGTCCGAAGTTGCTATACTCAAGACAATCACGGCCTTTGGGAAGTCTGACAGGTAACCAAGGTAAGTTTTTATTGTCTATTACGTTTTGGTTCTAGAATTATATAAACTAATCTAGTAGAGAATGGAAGAGGCTAGAAGTGTCAGGTAGTTATCAGAACATTAACTTGGATAATATACTGAAGATTTTAACTAACACAAGAGTCACGTAAAGAGTGTTCATTTAAATTGAAATTTTAAATCTTGCTGCCACAAAACACACACGTTTGTTTAAATCTTTGTGTTTTAACATAATTGTATTTATACTAAAAGTTATTGTTGTTTGTGTACGAACACAATAGTACTTATACCCAAAGTTGTTGTTGTTGTTTGTGTATGAACACAATAGTATTTATACCCAAAGTTATTGTTGTTTGTGTACGAACACAATAGTATTTATACCCAAAGTTATTGTTGTTTGTGAACGAACACAATAGTACTTATACCCAAAGTTGTTGTTTGTGTATGAACACAATAGTACTTATACCCAAAGTTATTGTTTGTATTCGAACACAATAGTATTTATAAACAAAGTTATTGTTGTTTGTCTATGAACGCAATAGTATTTATACTCAAAGTTATTGTTGTTTGTCTATGAACATAATAGTATTTATACCCAAAGTTATTGTTGTTTGTCTAT